GCCAAGTGGTTGATATTCGACTGAGGAGTCGAGCGCCTAGGCTCGAGAGAGTCGACTAGGTCTTTTCTTCCCCTAATGCCGAGAGATGACTGTAGGAGTCGGCCAAAGGGTTGTGCCTTAGGTTTATTCCTGATAAGATACCAATGGCTTATCCATGATGATCGATGAGAGTTAGAGGAATCGATCATATGTTGTGCATTGGGCTTACCTTGATAAAGAGCTAAGGGCTTGATATTCGACTGATGAGTCGTTGTGCCTTGGGTTTACCCTGAAGAAGTACCAAGGTATTGATATTCGACTGAGGAGTCGTTGTCGCACTATGAGGATCTGACCATATGTGGTGCATTGGGCTTATCTTGATAAAGAGCCAAGGGCTTGATTAAGGTGCCTAGGTTTTATACGACGCATAAGTCTTTAGCCATTATGAAGCCTTGATCTTTACGAGATCAGAGTTAATTCATATTTGAATAACATTCTATCGGTTCTGTATTTTACATTGCCATAAAAAATATCTTTTGCAGGCATCTGATGCTCAAAAAAGAGGTTGAACCACTTGTGATCTTGCTTTAGAAACTGCTTCAAAGGCAATTTTGTAGGGGGTGAGACCGCCAGCATAGAAACTCTTTTAGGTGGATTTTACTTGTTCTCTTAGTAGACAACTTGTTGGTATGACGAAGATGAGTTGAAACTCTATTTGCCATCTCATCAGTCGAGGTTCCTTTTGAGTCTGAATCTCTAGTAAGGTTTTAAAGGCGGATGGTTGGCACGTCGGCTTTTGGCAAAAGCAACTACCCTTACGCTATGAATTATGTTGAATGACGTTTTCCATGTGAGGGTTGAGGGTACGACCAGCAGCTACAATCTCTCTTGGGGAGGGAATCCACCAGCCGGTATTATACTTCCTAAAAATGACAAACCATTGTGGCTTTCTTGAAGGAGCTTCGGGAGTACTGGGGATTGGACCATGCTGTGGATGGAGAACTCTCTCTTATGGGGATCATGTGGGTCGCATGCTTCGACCACCTTAGCTTAGGCAACTTTAGTGGTGAAGGCATCGGTGGAAAGGCTAAGATCATTCTTCCTAAGAATAATCAGTTAATAGGCCCTAAGCTTTTCCCGCAATCTCATCCCTGATATACTGGGAGTTCTCCGAAAAAAATTCATCTGGTCCAAGGCACCTACCATAGATTTAATCACTGCTCCTATACTCATATGAGCTATTTATCAGTGGGAGCTTCAGTGATATTGGATCTATTCATAACCCTTGAAGGAGGTAGGGTTCTGCTTTGTGATCTAACTCTAGGTCTCTTGGTTGTCCAGAAGATGGAGTTCATCTGGAGTTCGTCTGTGGCGGCGATAAGAAGCATGTGCTTCTTGTCCAAGCCAGACAATCACCATAGTGGTGTGCCTTCTCCAGGAGGGCTTTCGGGGTTCTGGTAGAGGTCCCATCATTTGGTGAATGACCCGCCTGGCAGATGCTCCCCGGAAAACTATAAGGGCCTTTGAGGGCTACGCCTATATTGGCTCCTCATAGCCATAGGCTAATCCTCCTTAGCTTGAATGATGCAACTCGGAGCTTCGTTTAGCTTGAATGGTGCAATTCCGGTGTTGTTCTTCATGGTAATTAAACTCATACCCTTGTTCAGAACTTGGCATGTCTTTTTGGAAAAGAAGAAAGACCCCACGGTGGGCGCCAAACTGTTGATGCTCGATATCAAACAGACTATTAATCCAGAAGAGGATTGTTGCGAGGTGATGAAGGATGATGGAGGGCTCGTTCCCTTCTCCAGCTTTATACCTAGTTCTTGAACAATGGCCTGATGTCTGCGCTGCACAGACAAAAATAACTCGTGAGAGGGCGGGGACTGATTCCCCCGTGGTTCCCCCGACAATCAAGTCAGTTAATAAACATGAGCTTGAGTGGAGTTTAGAACTATCGGTTCTTATGCTATATGCATTAGAGATAATCATTGGGTCAGGAGGAAGATTTAGATTGTTGGATGAGACTTGCTTGAGGTGGACTGTGATGTCGACATTTGCTCTAGTGGAGAGACTTGAGGCCGAGGTTGAGTCCACAACTTAGTCGACAACAGGGAACGTCCCTTAAGTCATTTTTGAGAAATGTCCAGTGAGTGGTCGAGTGGTCCTAAATAGGGTCGTCATTGATAAGAGGGTCGACCGACACCGTCTTTCGTGTCAACTTAGGAGTGTCGGTCTGTCCAACTAGGCGAAATGTCGTCTTATCTCAGCTTAATAACCGTCTTTCGAGTCGGTATAAAGATGTCGACTCGTCTGGAATGTCAGGATCTCTCGTATCGGCTAATATCGCCTCTTGTATCGACACCAGGGTGCCATCTTGATGAGTCGATGGGGTCGAGGTCTCCGTAATTATGCCTTGGGTTTATATCTTGATAAGGTACCAAGGTCTTGTAATCTAGCCATGATGGTCGAGTTGTACTGGAGGAATCGACCATATGTGGTGCCTTGGGCTTACCTTGATAAAGACCAAAGACTTATTAGTCGACTTAGGAGTTGACCGCCTAGAACTCTTGGGAGTTGACTAGGACTCTTATTGCATTACATAGCAAATATTGTATCTTGAGTGAGTGAACACCATAACAGAGGTGTTGTTCATTTGAGATCAATTTATATTCCCTTGAGTTTCAATATAACAATGTATAGAGGTTGAACCTTCGTAGTTAGACATCTGAATGCATGTGAATTACTTCATCTATCACTGTTACACGATGTCCAATATTATGTGAGCTTACATGATTTTGCTGAGTTGTACTGGCGGAACAGATATTTGTTTACTTATCTCAAATGTAAGTCTTCTTCTATTTTAAATGATTTATGTCTATATATTTTGTATATTATTGCAAGTGAAAATAGGCTGCAACTAGGAAGCTGCAAATACAAACAAACAGCTACAATTATGCTTACAAGTACAAGTTGCAAGATTTTAAAGTTGTATCAAACAGCTGTAACTCCAGTTGCAGTCCAAAGCAGTTGCAACTACATCAGTTGCATGCAACAGAAAGCATTGCAACTGCACGTTGCAAGCAACCAAACACATCCTAAATTTATTGAAAAAAGGTGGTTGTCGATATAATAATATAGGAGCATCAAGTTAACGGGGTATGCCATTATACCGTTTTTACTCGGGAAAAGAAATTGATAAAACTAATTTACATATTTTATGAGTGGTTTAGTCAAAGCACATATAATGATGATTGACTAGTCACTTAATTTAGTTATTCCTTAGTCCAATGATGCCAACAGTGGTTAACCTATAGCCCCTCGCCATTGATTTTGACTGATTTCGTTTTGATCTCAAGCAACATCAGTGAAATTATCCATCATAACGATGAGTTAATCATGTTCAATGCAAAACAGAGACAACATAGAAAACGTTTGGTGCACGGAGGGATCAAACACAGGTATCATTCTCAGCGTGTCAATGTTTATATGCAAGAAGATAAAAAATCCAAAAATAATTCAG